CCCCCCCCTTTTCTGATATAAAGAGACATTTCAGTTTCTTCTTCTTGGGGAATTTGAGAAGCAGGTCGGCCCTCCTTTGGGGTGGTTTTGGAAATGCAGGGCTCGGTCTGCCATAGCTTCTCCTTTCTTCTCGTCTTGAAAATGTATCTTCCTTGAGGCCTCCTCAGCCCTTGACTGACTTGTCATCAAACTCACTCGGCAGCTGACATGCCTGGAGGATGCAGCCGTCCAGGCTGACAACTGCTTTGTTCCCACATGATGAATGGCTTTGTGGCCCAAACCCTGCCATTGTCCAATTGGCCTGTGGCCCTCACTTCAGCGATCCTTATCTCTGCCTTGGATCTTCAGTCTGTTTAGCAAAGGTGCTCATTGGCTAAGAGCCCATTACATCCAGTCCATTGTGCCTTCTCCATAGAAGATTCCCTGCACTGCGGTGGGGGAAGGACTGGCATCCACTCAAGAGGAGCGAGGCCGAGCTGCGCTGTTTACCCAGGACTGTGTGGCATTATGCTCTTATCTGCCGGGGGAAGGCAGATATGAAGGATTCCCTTCCTTAGTCAAACATTTGGCTGTATAGGCAGTGTGGAAGCACTCATGTAATTACTATTCTTTGGCTATTGCACAGCCTATCTTGTAAATCAACAATCCATCACAGTCAGTTGGGCCTCGTATTGTTCCATAATTAACTGTAACAATGCTTTTGTGGTTAGTTCAGATGCCTGTCGATAGTGGAAAAAGACAATTTTTTTTTGTGGGGGGGGCGGTATTTTAGACTCTCTAGTAATTCTGAGGATGTTTTGCTTGAACCTCAAAAATTATTGCTTACTTCCAAGCCTACAAGCAATGCCAGAAGGATAGTCTCAAAAGGATACATGCTGAAAAGATGCCCCGCCTACAACCTACCTACCTATGCTTGCTGTAGGAATAATCTTAAGATGTCCTCCCATTTTATATATATATGTGTGTGTATATATAAATGCATGCGTGTATGTGTGTGTGTGTGTGTATATATATATATATATGTGTGTGTATATATATAATTGGAAGTGTCAAGTCCCCTGAGAGTCAAGAGACCCAACTTCTCAGTGGGACTATGCTGCTCTACACTGCCTGCGGGTCTGGTTCTAAGCAGGTTGGCTAGCTATAGGTTTTTTTCCTCCCCTAAAAAGAAAGCTGCATGGATCTTTCTAAAAGCTGAACTATTACATGGACGTTGTTGGGAATAGTAAGGCTTTACTAATGTCTTGATGCAGTTGTTCCAGGAAGATGAGGGATATGTCAAGGTCTGTGGAGACCGTGAGCTGTGTGCTGATTTCTAGAAGTACAAGGGGCCCACAATGATTTTTGAGTGTGAAGGTGGTGAGACCATGGCTTTAGTCATTCTGGGCATGATCAGTTGACCTGACACCCCTCCCTAGACAGTTTGAAATATTGATTTAAGGATGATGGAGAGGAAAAAACTGGTTCCTTAATTATTGGCCATAGAGGCAAACCATTGCAGGGTGTTCAGACTCGCTTATCATCTTTATAATAGTGGCAGTATAATTAATAAGTTCATAAATGTAGCAGAAATGTAAAGAAAAGGGGACCACAGAGGGATTTTTGGAGTCACTGAGAACAACAGGGGCTGGGGAGAGCAGAATAACTAATTTTCACCTGACAGTAAAAAAAAAAAAAAAAAAAAAAAAAAAAC